CCCACATATTTAACAGCTGTTTTCTTTTTCTCCCACACGATTTATATGTTTTATCGGATTTCCATACAGTAGTGACCTTCTGTTGTTCCCTCATATTGATCCTCACCAATTGGACGTGTTTTAAGTCAACTTAAATCTTTGAAGATCTTCTTCTTCCAGTCGTGACATGAACATGAACTCAGCTATTTCCAGCACCTAAAACAAAGCAAAGCATATCAAAATCAGAACATAGTCCTCATGATTTTGCTGAGATGTAGAGAGACTCCCACGGACATAGAAGTTATTGAAGATTTTTATATTCCAGGCCTGGCACAGTGGCTCATGCCTGTAATCCCAGCACTGGGGGAGGCCAAGTAGAGAGCATCGCTTGAGCTCAGGAGTTCCAACACCAGCGTGAGCAAGAGTGAGACCCTGTCTCTATTAAAAATAGAAAAATTACCCAGGCATTGTGGCGAGTGACTACGTCCCAGCTCCTTGGGAGGCTAAGGCCGTAGGATCACTTGAACCTCGGAATTTGAGGTTTCTGGGAACTAGTCTGATACCACAGCATTCTAGCCTGGGCAGTAGAATGAGATTATGTGTCAAAAACCAAATATTTTTATGTTCTGTATTGCTTTAGAGTTGAGTTAGATATATTATACATGTTTTATTATGATTTTATTTGTTATTATGTTTTTCTTTTCACAAAAAAGAAAATAAATTAGTAATAAGATCTTATTCTTGGATGCTGAAGTGAAGTTTGAGGTTACTACTATCTATAGGGACCCAACCAACTGAAATGAATGCAATTTTATGTGTTATTAATCTACATTTTCTGTGTGTAATTAACAAACCATATGGTTCTACGTATCTAAATTTTAAAAGACGAAAACAAGAAACCCGGAGACAGCTTAGATGACAGAGTGTGACGTCTCTGTTTCAGGATGCCAAGTAAGCCAGTGTTTAGCCTTTTTATCATTTAGTTTACCTATTTTTAAAACTTACATTTAGCAACATTGTATATTATCTCACATCCTCAGAATAAGTCAAGTTCTGAAACTGGGGTAAATTATTTTTAGTTTTAAAGAAAATCAGTTCAGCTTCAGACATCATGGACGTACGAGGCAGAGAGTGATTTCTCTGAATGTCTAGATTCCGTCATCACACTCCTGTTATGTCAAAAATTAAATTTATCAGTGTTAGGAGAAACCCAAGACTTCTGGAGTTACTCTAAGGTCCAAGAAGGTGCTCCTTCTGCCTCCAGAAAGAGACTCATAGGGCGTTCATGCTGTGAGAAGTCCGGAACATCACTCTTTGATTGCATCATTTTTGTGAGGTTCAAGTACTTCTTAAAAATACAAATTCCCACAGGAGTAGATGGAAGGATCGGATGGTTCAGAAATTGGACAGAAGCTAAGAGGATTGGAGTCAGGAAATAAGGGAAGAGAAAACCCAAAAGTCTGTGCTAGATTAGGTCAGCTGAGAGTTGGAAGAAATCACTTATTATGCCATACCATTATTTTTTTCCCCAGAAATAAGGAAAGCTCTTTTTGCTTCCCCTAAGAAGTAGCCCCTTGTACCAGGAAAGCATCTTATTGCCGTACGTATTGTACCTGTTTGCCTAGAGCCCTTATTCAAATCTCTGTAAAGATCAATAGATTGGCTGGGCATGCTGTCTCATGCCTGTAATTCTAGCACTCTAAGAGGCCAAAGGTGGGTGGATCACCTGAATTAGACACCAGTCTGAGCAAAGCAAGACCCTGTCTCTACCAAAAGTAAAAAATAAATAAATAAAATAAAACAACCAGGTGAAATGGACATGCCTCTTGTCCCAGCTACTTGAGAGGCTGAGGCAAGAGGATTGCTCAAGCCCGAGAGTTTGAGGTTGCTGTGACAAATGGTACCACTGCCCTCTACCCAGGGCAACAGAGTGAGACTCAAAAAAAAAAAGTAAAGGTAACAGATTTGCCCTATGTCTAGCTGAATAACCAGAACTATTAATTTTTGGAGAAGTCAAGAAAAAATTTGTCTGGCTATTTCCTTAATTCAGAAGAATTCCATGGCACAGTTGGAAGTCACATCTATAAAAGGTCAGCCTGTCGCTAAATGCATGACAGGAAACAGATCCTTTCCTGTTTACAGAAGGGAGAAGCACACAGTGCTTGAGAAGTAGTGAGAGGGGAGTGGGCAGGGCGAGAGGAGAAGGTGCAGTAAGATAGTCCAGAAGCCCTGAAATAAATCTCGACACAAGTGTATCGTGTGACACTTGATCTTGAACCACATGAGTATGCAGAGGAGCGGAGGGCTGGGTGGAGAGGCTTTCTCGCGAGCCGTCTCGTGGACACATTTTCCATGAATATTGTTTGAGCTATCACACAGTCAACAAATTGATGAAAACATTATTCACTCATGTGATTGGAATTGTTCTTTCAACATGAGAAATGTTTTCATGAAATCACTCTGTGCTGAGAAGCTGCGTGAACTGAGATGACAGCATTCAGAAGACTGTTCAGGAAAACTTCAGTCCTATGACAGTTCAATACCCTTGGTGTTTAGGGCCCGTCAGTGCTGACTTCTGTAAAGAATCAGAAGAAACATGTAACTATGAGCAATGGTAAAGGGCTGAAATTACCAAAGTTTTGAGCAGCCTCTCAACTTCTGCAGGCATCGGGGAAGCACTCTGCCTTTCAGCGCTTGTAGGGCAAGATTGGCTTGAGTGCTTTCTGACGCGCTAGAACTTTCCCTTTGTGTAGCGTGTGCATGATTTAGAAGAAGCTGTGTCAGCAGTGATTTATACATTGACAGCTAAGGATAATAAGATATGGGCAAACATACAGCTCACCCTTTTACAGATTAACCTGGAGACTGCATTAGGCAAATTTGATAGCATTAAAAGATTTTGCCAATTTGTCTGGAAACAATTTCTCTTTTGTGGTGTGTCAAGGGTAACACTTTGTGCCATTGTACTAATTTAAATGGCTTTGACAAATTGTTCGAGGGGTTAGAGAATAGTAGTATAGATATATATTTAGCACTTTAAAATAAAAAGGCTATTCGCTTAATTGTTAAATGAATTTAATCTGCAAAAATCAAAAGTGTTCAAGAATGGAAGTGTTGTCTTGGAACCACAGTAGCCGTATTACATCATGAAGCTTTAAATGTCTTCTTAGAAAATAAAATTATGCTTCTGCATTACTTCCTAATGAGTAGAGATGCCTTAGGCTATTACAGTAGCATGGATGCTAAGCATTATTTGGGAAAAGGCTTGGTTTATGAAAGCAGTAAATTTGTATCTTCTTTGGGTACACCTTTTTAAATACTGCATGTCCTAGATTGTACCATTTGCATGACATCAAGGAAGTCTTGTGTACGATGGTGTCCCCTGGAGACCTTCTTAAAAATGAGATGTATATTTCATGAGACAGTCTCTATGTACATAATTTCTAAAAGTAAGAAATTTGAAGGGGCCCCCTGAAAGTAATGGGGTTAAACCATTGCACCTTTATTCAGTAGGCTTGTGAGACAAACAGCTATTTTATGAGAATCTCAAACAGTTCTTTAAGAACAAACCTCCAGGGTGATGCCTGTGGCCCAATGGCACCAGTCCCACATACCGGAGGTAGCGAGTTCAAACCCAGCCCTAGCCAAAAACTGCAAAAAAAAAGAACAAACCTCAGATCTGAATTAGCCCTTTTGGTGAATTGCAAACTTGAAGCAGAGACAAGACTCAGTGGTATTGTAATCATGGTCTTACTCCTATGTATCTGCGTTTCCTCACTAACTAACTAGCTGAAAACTCTCCTATTTCATGAAACATTTCATTTCTATCTCAAGTGAAGCATTAAAATACTTTTTTGTTTTTTTGCTGTACTTATGATATGTGTAAACATCAAGCTACTATAGTTAAACCACTGTTTATTTGGAAAAATGCAGATCATGTAGATAGGATTTAGCCCTTAGCTGTTTATTTCAACCAAATAGAAGGCCAGGTTTCGTATGTGAATATGGAAATTTTAATTCCAAAAACAAGCATCAGGAAAATGCAGACATGACCAAGCTTGGAACATTCCTTTTTTATTAACACGCGAATTTTAACAAATGAGTTCCTAAACTACAAGAATGGGTTCACTTGTTTAAATTATGTGTTATTTAGAGTTTACTAGAACAGCTTTCCAACTTCTTACCATAAATACATGTAGTGTTTTAACAATATATCTGTGGTATAGGTTTCTTCATGTTTTTGGCTGAAATTAGCATGTCGAGGCAAGCAATTTTGTCTTAATTTTTCGAAACTTAAAAACTTACTTTCTAGTGAGCGATAGGACTCTGGAAGTTTCTTAACTCAAAAGCATGTTGTATTTACAGTGCAGAGAATTTGCATGTAATGATAAATAATGCAAATTATGAGAGTAGAGAAGGTTAATATAGGACAACTGTTAGCTTTCTAAAGTGTGTTCGTGGTTTGGAAGAGCAGGGAGATAATATATACGACATTTCTCTTTACCTGGATGTGAAGTTCTCGAAGGAACGCAGCTTTTTAAAAAAGGGAACCTAAAAGTAGTCTTGCTCTTTCCTGCCAAGGATAGTGAAATTAACATGCAGCTGGGCTTCTCTGATAAATGGATTCTGTTAGGTCACTGAGGGGTGCATGTGACATTAAGTGATTTACAGTCCTTTACCTTAATGAAATTGTTTCAGCAAGATGACGCTGAAAGCTCTTAATGGATAGCTTTTCTTGATGTAATGAAATTGCATTCCTATGGCATTTAATATAAGGTGCAGTTATTATTTACTGGAGCTTTCCAAGGGCTGCTATTTGCACAGACAGTTCAGAACAAAAAGAGATTTCAGTGGCGGAGTAGAGGCCAAAATGGTTCGTGGCATTCCTAAAACATTTGAGTGTGTGTGAGAACATTTCAGTAAGTGTGGCCAGGGCATCACAGACCCTTCAGGAGACTTCGATCACCTACCCCTCCTACTGTCTGTCCCTTTTACACAGATTCTTCTAATCTATTTAACAGGCAACTGGATTACAACCAGATCAGCTGTATTGAAGATGGGGCATTTAGGGCTCTCCGGGACCTGGAAGTGCTGTAAGTACTGCTGTTTCTCTGACTCTTTTAACGGAGACTTTGTATCTAGAGAGTATCAATGTGGAGGCTTATCTGTGAGCTTAAAACACTGTGTCAAAATATTCACTTAAAAGATACTTAAATGACTCTGGGTGAATACAAAGATGAGTGCGAATATGTGTGCACAAAATTTTGCACATCGGATCTGCATATTTAGGCAAGATTTTTTATTTAGGGACATTAAAATGTTCTTACAGTAAACTATTTTCACAGGATTCACAGGATATGTGAGAATTCCCAGAATTGCTAAATATTTGGATTAAAATTAATTTGGAGGAAGAGTAACATCAAAAATAAAACTCTTAGTAGCTGATTAATTTGGTGTATTTCGTGGTTGTTAGGCAACGGAAACACGTTTTCTAACTTAAATCTGTATTTTAACAGGGTGATTTAACATTATTTTTAAAGATTATTTTGCAATCTACTTTCTGATAGTAATGAGCCAGTCATCAGGTCCATTTTGAAGTCTTCACGGCTGACTTTGTAATCCACACATAAACTTGAATTGTAAATGACACCCTCTCTCTTTTCTTGATGAGTAGCCATGGCTGACAAAATTGGTTAGCGGCAACTAAGTAATCTGCATTGACTTTTGACTTAAATTTTATGCTACCTAGACATTGCTGGATTCACATTTCTAGCTTGAAATTCTAAAACAATAATGACAAAAAAAACACATACTTACAGTTTCTCTCCAAATTAAAATATTTTGCTGTGCTTTAGTTACTTTCTTGACATAATTAAGTCAGAAACCCAAAATTGAATTAAATGTGGGGAAGTTTTGAATTTTTAGTCCATTTGTTAAAAGTTAAAAGAAGATTCATTGCTTTGCTTTATAAATTAAGTTCTAGGAACAGAATGTACTTCTATAAAAACTTTAATCTTTCAACTAGACTGGTTTATTTTGGTAGTATTTTCTACGTGGTTTGGGTTTTAATTAAGAGTAAATGAATAGAATTCCTAGCTGTGTCAAGTGCCGAGTTCATAATTACTTTAAAAGAGATGTATGTACGAATGAGTTGATTGAGATAAATTGTAAAATATAAAAATATATACTGCCTTCTAATTACATGAGACGTCACCTTTGTTTCTATTGGTAACAGCCTAACTTTTTCTACAGAAAAAAGAAAAACATTCAAAGTGCTTATCATACACATTTTAGCTGTAAGACCACTTTTAAAATTGTAAATTAGAGCCATTTTTAATATATGAAACCTACTGATACTATTTCACAGGCAGAAAAATTAGGACAGATCTATGATTTCATAGTTGTGGTTGATGTCAAAATCATGGTCAATGTCACTTAACTTTCTACAGGAATACACCACCATGAGAGTTATTTAGTTAAATGGAACAAGTCAGGCCAAAATCTGTTACTAATCAGTATTCCCAACTGGAAACAGAAATGAGACTGATTGTTTTATGAAAAGTTTGCTTTTAATTCATCCAAAGTAACTTACTGTTAAGTTTAAAAAAAAAATTATTATTCAGCTTTCTGTTCTCCCTGACATACATGTATAGAGAGAATACACACTATATATAGCTCATATACAAGGTGGCATACAATCCGTGTGCAATTTAAAATTGCACATGAAGTTTATGACTACCCTGTATATAGTATAATTTTGTTAAATCCTCATACTTTAAAGAAGTTTCAGAAAGGCAGTGCCTGTGGCTCATGGAGTAGGGAGGGCACTGGCCCCATATACCAGAGGTGGCGGCTTCATCAAACCCGGCCCCAGTCAAAATGCAAATAAATAAATAAATAAATTGATAAAGAATGAAGCCATACTTTTATAAAGCACTGAGGAGACTAGGATTTATTAAGCCAGAATCTCTTGTCAAGTATATCAAAAGTTCACCCATTATAAATATTTGGTCTAAGGAGTTTTGAAAATAGAGTTTATGCTCATAAATGTTCCGGAAAGAAGCTTGACTCTTTAGCTTATTTTTACCATTCATGACTCGTTAGGACATACCTTCAGATTTATAAGGAAATAATGAAAGAACTTTAACTTGCATATACATCAAATCACATTGAATTTTGGATTCCCAGTGTTTTAGATTTTTTGAAAACTTTAATCACATGAGCTATTTGTTAATACACGAGCATAGTACTGAGGCCAGCCAGGAGAAGATGGGATAATCCTCCCTGGTCACGGGTAATAATGTGTTAAATTAGGTAGATTAGGACATATATGAGAGTAGATATACAGATATAGTCCAAAATGTCTAGTGAAAGTCAAGGTCAGTGAAATCAAGGAGACAGTTATCACTTGTATGTTCACAGGCAAACTGGTTGATTATAGAATTCCGGTTGGTAGGATTTAGAATTAACTGCTCATTTTTTTTT